GTAGTTTAGATGTACCCATGCAGAATGGAAAGTAACTGTCTTGGGAAGAGTATTGCAGAAAGATGTAGGGGTCATAGTGGACCACAAGCTAAATATGAGTCAATAGTGTGACGCTGTTGCAAAAAGAGCAAACATGAATCTGGGGATGCATTAACAGGTATGTTGTGAGCAAGACACGAGAAGTCATTCTTCTGCTAGACTCTGTGCTGGTTAGGCCTCACTTGGAGTATAGTGTCTAGTTCTGGGCACCGCATTTCAAGAAAGATGTGGAGAAATTGGAGAAGGTCCAGAGAAGAGCAACAAAAATGATTAATGGTCTAGAGAACATGAGCTGTGAGGGAAGACTGAAAGAATTGGGTTTGTTTAGTTTGGAAAGGAGAAGACTGAGAGGGGACCTGAGAGTGGTTTTTAGGCATCTAAAAGGGTGTCACAAGGAGGAGGGAGACAAATTGTTCTCCTTGGCCTCTGAGGATAGGACAAGGAGCAATGGGCTTAAACTGCAGCAAGGGAGGTTTAGGTTGGACATTAGGAAAAACTTCCTAACTGTCAGGGTGGTTAAACACTGGAATAAGTTGCCTAGGGAGGTTGTGGAATCTCCATCTTTTGAGGTAGGAAATGGCACAGAAGGAAAATCTTTGTGTTTTTTGCCAGCAATGAACACAGTGGAACCCCAGTTCTTAGAGGTTGTCAGGCTCTTTCCAATGAGGCTGATGCCAATTCACGGGGGACTGGACAGAACTCTACTGAAAATCCCAACCTACATTAATAGGGACAGTAAATAATGATCATGTTTGGGGACCAAGAGCTAAGTTATTTTAATACACAAGATTTGGGGGCAAATAGGTTCATTTTCTAACACATGAATTGCTTGTGTATACTGGGCTCGACTGCTCCCACTGGAGTCAGGGGTGAAATCTCCTATATAGCATCTGGGTTAGTTACTAAGTTTGGGAAAATCCTCGAACGGAAGATGGGCACATTTATTTTCTGAGAAATTTCTGTTCTGTGCAAAATATTTTCTATGTTACAACCAGCTCTGCTCAAAAGGTATGTGTGGGTCCAATAAAAGGCATCCACATTAACTCCCTGGTTTGGGGATCAAAGCATGGAACCCAGTACAAAGAGCGAGATGCAGTAGCCAAAGCATTGCACTGTGACGTGAGAGATTTGGCTTCTGTCCCCAGTTTCTGCCAGTCATTTCTCTGCTCTGTGGCTCAGCATTCCATTCTGTTGAATGGGGTTGGTGATTCCTCCCTTAGAAGTATAGTGAGAGCTATCATTCCTTAATATCTATAATCTGCGTGGAGATTTTCCACCTTCAAGGCACTACCAGAGTATGTCTATACTACAGAGTTTTGTTGGAAAAACAGCCATTTTCCAACAAAACTTGAGGAACGTCCACACTGCAATTGCGTTCTTCCGCAAGAAAATCAAAAGAACAGAGGGGTTTTCTGACATTGGTAATCCTCATTCTATGAGGAAGAAGCCTTTTCCCAAAAGAGCTCTTTTGCAAATGGGAGTGTATGGACAGGGAAGAGGGAGTTATTTTGGAAGACAAGGAAAGAAGAAAAAGCACAGGTGCCCTGGTGGCCATTCTGTCCATAGCAATCCCAATTTACATGCGAGAAAGCATCCATTCAGTCTGGACGCTCTCTTTCGAAAAAGCAGATGGCTTTTTCGATGCACTTTTGCAGTGTGGACGCTCTTTCAGAAGAGGTTTTTGCAGAAGATCTCTTCTGAAAAAAGCTTCTTCCGAAAGAAGTCTGTAGTCTAAACATAGCCCCAGAGAGCAAAGAGCTCATGGCAAGGCTTGGGTCATTAGGCCTGTGCCATGTTTTGATAGATTTTCCTTTGCAGTAACTCCACTTTTGCTTTAGTAATTTTTGCCTGTGATTGTGGAGATGTTGATTCAAGGCTACATCTACACTGGCACATTCTCACGCAAAAACTCTTTTGCAGAAGAGTTCTTCTGCAAAAACTCTTCCAGAAGAGGGCATTTACACTGGAATGTGCTTTTGTGCAAGAGATAGCATCTGTGCCAGTGTAGATGCTCTCTTGTGCAAGAAAGCTCTGATGGCCATTTTAACCATAGGGATTTCTTGTGCAAGAAATTCATGTTGCCTGTCTACACTGGCCTCTTGTGCAAGAACAGTTGCGCAAAAGGGCTTATTCCTGAGCGGGAGTGTCAGAATTCTCACGCAAGAAGCCCTGATTTTATACAGTAGAACGTCAGTTTACTTGCACAAGAACACACGGCCAGTGTAGACAGGCAGCAAGTTTTTGCGCAAGAGCAGCCACTTTTGCGTGAGATCATGCCAGTGTAGATACAGCCGTATACAATTATACTAAAAGAACTACCCCCTGTAATGGGACCCAAATGACACGAACCTTCTGAGACAGCCCCATCTCACTGGCCACGGAACGTGTTATGGGAAACTTGATGTGAAGTATGATTTCTGGCAGAGCCCGTTTGTTCTGACCCCAACAGGGAGCCACAGGACCTGCAGCCAAAGTTAGTTTTGGAGCGCTGTGATGTGTCTTTGCAAGCTCCCTTGCAGGAGCATTTCCTGCCCTGGTTGCATTAGTGTTCTCCAGTATTAAGCTTGCATAGCTCCCCTCTGCACAATGCACGTCTATAGCCAAATAGAGGTGCTTGCTATAAAACCTGAGCACCAGATCCTCAGATGGCATGAACCAGCACAGCTCTGGAGTGCATTGATTGACACCTGTTGAAGAGATGGCCCTGGAGCCGTAATTTGTAATGAAGCAATATACACTGAAGATGTTTAATCTGAGCATTTTAAGGGCCCTGATCTTGCAGCCTAATTGAATTCAGTGGGTTTCTGCCAGGAGAAGGGCTACTCACCTGAGTCACCATTATTTATTAGGTTATTTATTAAATTAGATCCCACTAAAGACCCTCTGAGATCCTCTGATAAGCAACAGCATGTTTATTACACTGTCTTCAAACCACACCCGCCACCAAACCGACAGCTTATTGGGAGCAAGGCCCAGCTCCTACAGAAGCTAAAGGCAAGACTTCCACTGAATTCAGTGGGCTTTGGATCAAGTTCTTAAAGAGATGTCAGGGTTCCAGCTGACAGCCATAGAATTTTGGCCCTGACCCTGCACACAGACTCCTGCACTTGAATGCTGGAGTCCACAAAATTCCCACTGATGTTTCTGGACTCTGCCCAGGTGTACAGCTCTGACTGCATGCAGTCCTGTTAAAATCAGTGGAGCTGCTTGTGGCCTTTGGCTTTATCCAAACAGATCAGAGGGTACGTCTAGACTACCGCGTTTTGTCGACGGAAGTTTTGTCGACAGATACTGTCGACAAAACTTCCGTCGACAAAGAGCATCCAGACACATTGAGTTCTGTTGACAAAGCAAGCTGCTTTGTCGACAGAACTCCGTAGTCTGGATGCAATGTTACAGGCAATAACACCTTCTGTCGACAGAGTTCCGTCGACAGAAGGTGTTATGCCTCGTAAAATGAGGTTTACCAGCGTCGACAAAACTGCTGAGTTCTGTCGACATTATGTCGACAGAACTCAGCGGTAGTGTAGACGCAGGTATAGTTTTGTCGACAAAAGTCCACTTTTGTCGACAAAACTAGGTAGTCTAGACACACCCAGACTGTGGGAGCAAAGTTTGTTTTCCCCAACTTTTCTCTATCTAACACACTGTGAGAAAAATATTTTTCTTCCTTTATTTTTAATTTCTCTCAATTTTATTTTATTTTTTGAACTTCAGTGTATCTGTGGGCCAGCACGAAACCAATGGGGGTTTAACACAGTGGCTTTTCATCCCAAATAACCAACATAAGAGGAATTTACTAAACAACATAATAAAAAACAAAACAAAAAAGAAGTCTTGACATTTAAATAGAAAAGAGTCAAACAATTGACGGTGAGGATTTGAAGAGAGGGTTTTTGTTTTTTCTTGTAATTTGGTGTATCTGTGGGCCAGCACGAAACCAATGGGGGTTTAACACAGTGGCTTTTCATCCCAAATAACCAACATAAGAGGAATTTACTAAACAACATAATAAAAAACAAAACAAAAAAGAAGTCTTGACATTTAAATAGAAAAGAGTCAAACAATTGACGGTGAGGATTTGAAGAGAGGGTTTTTGTTTTTTCTTGTAATTTG